CATTAATATAAAGTAAAAATTTTAACTTTGGTTAAAATGTCCCAGAACCTCATTTTCCTAGCTCACAACCCATATATCTAAATATAAAAAATAATAAAAAATGGTTAGGTTATAATTTATTTGAAATATATGTAGATAAGCAGGCTGTAAATCTGATCTGCGTAGCTAATGAGAAGAAATTACGTAAATGCTAAAACACGAATTCATTCTTGAAAAAACTACTACTATTTAGCTCGTCAAGGCTTCTAATAATAACCGTTATGTCCACAATTATTGATGCGGATAAAAGCGAAATCCGACTATTAACTGAGTTAAATTCACGACTTAAAGAAGAGAATGAACTTCTTAAAATACGTGTCAAAGAACTAGAAGAGAAACTCGAGCATAATTCGAAAATTAGTGAACCAACAAAATCTGATAAAGTTCCAGCCAAAGCTAATCTAAAGAATAATGACCTAAGCTTGGATGAATATACACGATATGGTCGACAACTCATTCTACCAGGGTTTGGAAAGTCTGGTAACCTTTTTTTCTAAAAAGATAAATAATTTCCTAGCATTATTAATCGATATCATTTATAACATATATCTCAAATAATAATAATTTTAAATAGGACAATTGAAACTTAAAAATACTTCAATATTAATAGTAGGTGCTGGAGGTTTAGGTGCACCTGTAGCCATTTATCTTGCTGCTGCAGGTGTTGGTAAGAATTTATTATTATTATTATAATTAAAATGGTTCCGATCTATGAATTAAATTTCTTGTTAATGAAAGGCAAACTTGGAATAATTGACTATGATACCGTAGAAAAATCAAATTTGCAACGTCAGGTAATACATAATGAATCACGAGAGGGTGTTTCTAAAGCACAATCGGCAAGGATGACTATCGAAGAATTAAACTCTTTATGCCAATGTGTTGCATACGACATCCTTTTGGATAGTTCAAATGCACTGGAAATAATTGAAAAGTATGATATAGTTATTGATGCGACTGATAATGTTGCTACGCGTTATCTACTTAATGACGCATGTGTGATGGCCGGAATTCCTTTGGTCTCTGGAAGTGCCCTACGTATGGATGGTCAATTAACCATATATAATTACAAAGGAGGCCCTTGTTATCGATGTTTATTCCCTAAGCCACCTCCACCAGAAAGCGTATTAAATTGTTCTGATGGTGGAGTTTTAGGAGTCGGTCTGTGCTTATAAACAAATTTGAATTGTTTTAAAACATAAACAAATAATCAAAAAAAAAATTTTTTTTTTTTGTTTCCTTTCTTTAGTGACCGGAGTTATTGGATGTTTGCAAGCTTTGCAAGCAATCAAAATTGCTACAGATATGAATGGCGGGTGCATTATTTCAATAAAATATTAATGCATTTATTTCTTGGGACGGATAAATTATATTAATAAAATCTATTTATTTAATATTTGAACATTTAGATGACGAAAGTCCTCATAATCTCTTGATTTTTTCGGCTACATCATATCCACTGTTTCGATCCATGAAATTGAGACCGAAAAAGGAGGACTGTGCTTTATGTGGCGAACGTCCCTCTATAACTGAATTAATTGATTATGTTCAGTTTTGTGGTAGTGGAGCATTAGATAAAGTGATTATTTTTATTCTGATTACTCAAACATGTTAAAAATTAATTTAAAAGAAAAGATTATTAATTTCAATTTAGTCACCTACAGTAAATGTATTGGGATATGAAGATAGGATTGAACCAAAAGTAAGAAAAAAGTTTTTTTTTTTTTTTAATTATTATTATTATTTAATTTTACTATTTTGTATTATAGGTTTATCACTATTTGCGGAATAAAGGCATTTCTCATGTTTTAATTGATGTGAGGGAAACGATACAATATAACATTTGTAGTCTACCTAATTCAATTAGTAAGTAATGACGTAACGCGTATTTTGATTTTTTCCGGGACTTTTTTTTTTAAAAAATATTTATTTAATCCTCAATAGATATTCCTTTGAACGATCTTCCCAATAAGATTGAGGAAGTAAAAAAATCACTAGAAAAACTCAATACACCAGGTAAATTATTAAATTTATCCTAACATTAAAATTTTATTTTTTTGATACTCATTCTACTTTCTATAAATAAAAAAGTATATGTAATTTGCCGATTAGGAAATGATTCACAACATGCAGTGAATATATTAAAAAATGTTTTGAAAGGCGAAATTAAAGATATTATCGGAGGATTATATAAATGGTCCTTAGATGTTGATCAAGAATTTCCTATATATTAATATTACTTACATAAAAATAATAATTTATTTATTTTAATCATAAAAAATTTATTTTAAAGAATATTGATTTAGATAATGATGGAAGAAAAGTAATATGTCCATATATATAATATTAATACTGAAATAAATAAATTCAATCAAGAAATGGTTATCAATATATATAAATTGATAATGTTTTCATGAATTTTGAATTAGTAATTGGGATCTTCTTCAATTTCCAAAAAAACTTTTGATACAGGCCTACCACGATTACGTTTAAGGCCTGATCGAAGTTCACGAATTGCATCATCAAAATCACCTTGCGCATCATTTGATGAAGCAATGCTAATCGCATCTGATGGTTTTTTATTCGTCTACAGATAAAATATAATATTAATATCAAGAATAATGTTCAAATATAATATAAATATATTGATAATATTAACCTGTTTTAACGCATTATCCTTGTCTTTCTCTACTTTCTTTCGAGCATCTTCATTTTCCTTACGAGCTTTCTATTTATCAAATTTAAGAACATTAATAAATTTCTTTATAGTCAAACAGATTAGAAGCTTAAATAAAACATACCATGATAGACGATGAGAATGAAACAATTAATCCAAAAAAGTCCTCGGGTTTTATTGATTTTGGATCCTCTCCATAATAAATTAACATTTGCTTTAACTCATTATCCAAATTTGTGGCCGTTTCCTGGATCCTTTGAATTGTGGATTCCACTTGTTTAACAAAATCCTTTAATTAATAAATTTTAAAGAAGTTTAGTATTGAAAATATGTATACAAAAGGAATTCTAAAATGTTCATAATAAATTTACATCCATCACTTCCAAAAATCTATCATTTACTGTAATAAGTCTTATTCGTTTAAGAACACGCATTTCTTCTTTAATCTGTGAGACACCAGTGACTAAAGAAGTCACTGATGACATTACAGTTACAACAGATACTCTTGCTGCTGCTTCCAAGTGTGGTAATTCATCCATAAACGTAATAAGTTCTTTTTGATTCGATTCAATGGTGAATGCTAAATAATGCAAAAGAGTAGCAGTTCCTTTTGAGTTATTTTCTGTAGCTTTTGTATCTCTCATCTAAAAAATAAAATAAAATAACTTAAAATTGGTCGTTAAATAACAAATTTAAAATTACAATGTTACCTTGAGAAGTGCATCCAATTGAAATCCTGATGCATTTCCTCTAAACGACTTAGCATTCAAATAATTGCCAATAGCTAATACAGTCTGTAATGCGCGTAATAAAAAAAAGGTAATTATATGGTTGTCCAGAATTTTTGAATTTAGATGGAAATTTAAAATCAAATCAAATTACCTTTAATAACTTCTTAAATTTTGGTGAATTTTTAAGGTCTTCGTATGCATCGTGTAACATGGTTATTTCCTATAAATTGAGTTAGTCGTTTTATACAAAAATAAAAACACCATTCAAATAATTTTATAATTATCATACATACAGGTAATAATTCTTGCACTTCAATTTCAAACCTCCGACGGAAAATCATACAATTCAATCTCTCTGACATACGTGGAATGATCATTATTTCCCTAAAATAATTTTCTGCATTTCCCAAAGTCGATAAATCGCCATCATATTCTTTTACTAATTCAATCTCTTCGCTATTAGGCACATATTGTTTAATTGATCTAAGATTTTCTACCGATAATTTTTCATCATCCAATTCTAATATAGCATTTTTAATTTCAGAATATGGCATTTTAATTCGAGCTAACATAATAGCAATGTTATTGGCACGATTAAAATCCAGTAATGTTGTAACTGTAGCTTTAACTGAAACCTTTATGCCATTTTCAGATGTAACAGCAACCGTTTTACTAAATAATTCATCCAACTCATTAGTATTAAGTGGGATATCTTCATCCTGAATATCCTTCCAAACAGTGTTATTAACTTCAAGGTTTGAAATTTTGCTCCAAAATAGCTGTTTTAAAGGTCCCTTTGGCTTATTAAAATTAGCTTTGATAGGAGAATTATCATACAAAACGGAGGCATTATTTATTGAATTACTATCTTCTGTCAATAAAGGTTGTAGAGAAACCTTATTTTTTCGATCAACAGACGGAGGAGGTGGAGGAGGAGGTGGTGGAATCCCAACCGTTCCCGGAGGAGGTGGTGGCGGTGGCGGTGGAATCCCAACCGCTCCCGGAGGAGGAGGAGGTGGTGGTGGTGGTGGTGGCGGAGGAATCCCAACCGCTCCCGAAGAAGGAGGAGGAGGTGGTGGTGGTGGTGGTGGCGGTGGCGGTGAACTGCCAGCAGCACTCTGAGGTGGTGGTGAGATAGCAACTGATGGTGGTGGTGGTGATGACAGTGAAGGGATAGATGGTATATCAAATTTATTTATTGATGGCAGATTAGGTATTAAAGGTATTGATGGTATAACAATATTATCCGTTGGAGTCGAAGTTGATGGTGATTGAGAAAGAACATCAAATGTGATTCCATTATGAAGTGTTTCTGGTATTATTTCATTATTCTTGGTTTGATATGACGAATTAGAGACTAATATATTATTTAATGTAGCATAAATAGGTTGTGACGATGTTTCAATATCGTCAATAATTGAATTTGATAAATGTGATGTGAAATCAGCATTATTATTAGACGTAAATTGTTGTGAGTGTGGAAATTCTGTTGTAAAATTCGTTTCATTTTTTACAGCGGGAAACGGTGGTTTCTTAGTTTTAGATTGCGATACAATTGATAATGATGAGCTTCGTTTTGCGGATGATGAAGGAGGTGGTGGTGGTGGTGGTGGTGGTCGTGGTCGTGAACGGATATGTGTTGCGTTATTGGATAATCCATGATGTGACGAAGGAATTTTTGGAGGAGGTGGCGGAGGTGGTTTACGGTTTATTTTATGTTGTTGATGATGTATAGATTTAGAAGAAGTAGGATGGGATAAATTATTATCTGATGGATGCTGTTGGTTTAGTATTGGAGCTGGAATAGAAGATTGTCTAAAGATATTCATAAGTTTCGGGAAATATAATGGTGAAGTTGAAATTGATGATGGATTAGAAGAAATATTTGACATTTGAGAAGTAGGAGAACCGGGGACTAATTGGTGCAGTGGTACTTGTGGGATTGTTTGGATAGATTGTTGTTTATCTAAATTGTTATGTGATAAATTCTGATTTGGTGTTTGTTGTTTAAGACCAGTAGGCATAACGACCATTTCTTCAGCAGTTATTTTTCTTTCGTTCTTGATATTATGTATGTTATTCAAATATATAAAGTAAATAATAAAAAGTTCACATTATACAGATAATTTTTTTTTACCTTAATAATTAATCCTTCCACACGAGTCCTTAAAGAATCAATTTCTTCGTCAGTTACGTTACCACTAACTAATGAATATTTTCCGACAATATGCTGTATGGATGAGTGATATTCTTTCATAAATTTTTGCCATTCTAATAATTTTTCATAATTCTAATTAATATTTTTTGAAGTAAAAAAAGAAATTGACCAAAATAAATCATAATTCAATTACCTTGCCCTAGATTATTTAAAGAAATGATTTGTTCTATAAATTGCTCAAGCAAAGTCCATATCTCGTTTTGATACCTCCTATAAATTATTTACCAGGTATAAATTTTAATGACTTTTATAGTACCGATAAATTTAAATGTATGAAATTTTATACGAACTCTCCGGTGCTTTTACATGAAATCCTTAATAAATTTTTAAGAGTTTCAATAACACGACGATGTAAATTTCTGTCACTTTCCAATTGTTGAAGTAATCCAGCAACTATTGAAAGTGGGTCACTATAATTATATAAATTAAATTATCTTCGGTTTAAAAGAAATTTTAAACTCTCCTTGAACATAACTTACTTTATACCTCTCACAATTTCATGAGCTTTCTCATAAAGTTCATCTAAATCTTCTTGACGCTCCTCTTGATAAACCTCAATTTGCTTTAATACAGATTCAGGAGGGTCAGAATCTTTGATAACCTAATATATATTTATATAATAAGTAACCTAAGAAATATTATTTCTTTAAAAAAATTGACTTTGAAATCTTTGAGATTAAATTACCTTAAAAACATTATCAATTCCTCTCCTTTCAAATTCCTCTCTTAAAAGAATGCGTTCTTCGATAATATCAGGAGAATTCACGATCGCGTTAATTAAACTTAGCCCAGCAGCTTTATATTCAATAGAAGTGCTATCTTCATCTTCATTTCTTCTCAAACTTTCAACTAAATAGTGAAATCGGAATTTTTCCTCATGAACTACACGAAATTCCGTGAAAGAGCCAACAACTAATTTATGTCCATCCAAGGAGAGCACACATAACGCTGCCAATACATCAGCCACTTGAGAACGTAATTTGTTATTAGTAGTGTGAAGACAAAAAACAATGCTAGCAACTAGTGACGAAGATGTCAAAACTTGTCGAAAACCAATCTAAATAAGAAGATATGATCAATTTATATATAAGGGATAAGATATTTACGATTATACGAGAATTATGACGTTAAGCTTGCCTCAGAATTCATCAATGTTCTTAAGCATCGAATACATTGGGACTGTATTCGATCGTCTTGGTCAGAATTTCTAGCTGTGCTAATTTAATGAATTTAATTAGATGTTATAAACTGGAATAGAATAATAAGCTTATAAATTTTTGCTAACCTCCTCTTATCCCGAATAGTATGTTTCTCAAGGATAGAATCCAGCACCACTAATCCTTTATTTTCTAAAAATTCTCTTAACCAAGATAACTTTGCTGAAGACAAGGTTATTCGTAAAGATAATAAAGTATCTGCTAACAACTTAGGTGCAGCATTCCTTAAAATTGAAAAATTCCAAAGGTTCAAACCTAATTCATTGAAAGATTAAACCCCCAAATGAAAATTTTAACTCACTTTTGTGTTAATTTTTCGATATAAAAATCAGGTGTATCCTGTAATTTTGTTGAATTTCCGGCTGAAGGATATAAATATAACAAAGAACCAAATAATCCACTTGAGCGATTTTGAGAAGTCGACTGTACAACTGGATTTATCTGTTCGGGTACATTTGTTAATGGTGGTGAAGAAGAGCGATTTTGCTCTGTATTAAACAGCCAATAAGATAATGAAAGCCGATTATTTGGCTTTTGTTCTGCGTTATAATTTTCGCTAGTGGCACTTGTAGCAGAAGCTACATCAGAATCACGTATTTGTATTTTTCCAGACATATCAGACATTGTATCGTAATCATTTAAAAAGTTCTTTTGTTGATAAGTCTGAGATTCAGGTCGCAGCTGTTCTAGTGTTTCGCTTTGTTGTAAAAAATATTGCGATTGCGATTGCTGTTTTATTTCTTGAGCTTGTTTGTGTGTAAGTAAAATTGTTCGTTTTTGATCGATAGAAAGCTGCAACATTTTCTCTCGTGCAGGCCCTTGTATGTTCATTTCATTCTAAAAAGTTCAATTTAAATATAAATCATTCAAAATTCTATAATGAATTTCATTATAAAATAATATCACAAACCAAAAATTTTTCGAATTCCTGAGGTAAATCAACATCACTAACTTCTTCATTAAACATTGATAAATCTACACCATCAGGGGCACGTAATGACACAAAACCACTTTTTACACTATCATGATCTATCACAGTAGCGCGTCTTTTAGTCCTAGACACCTGACTACCGTACCCAATGCCATTACTTATCCACGAGCCTATTATATTAGGATCTATCATATTATTAAATCGTGATACTGCAATAGAAGCACGTCGATTTGGGTTAGTCCCTAAATTAATATTATTATAACTAGATCTCTCGGCTAGTTCTGTAATAGGTGACAAAGGTTCTATTGATTCGGTAAAATTCTGCTCATTTACTTCATTATTTTCATCGCAAGTGTGCTCAATCATTTCGTCTTCGGAGTTTTCCATATTACAAGAGTATATATAATTTGACAAATTTCTTAAATATTATAGTAAATGCTTATCAGGCATCTCAAAATAACGGAAATTTTCATATCTTTTAATTAATATGTAAATTGATAATTGAAGGGTAATAATGAAAAAACATCGGATACGAAAATGATCATTTTGTTGTGGTACATAAGATTACATAAGATCATTGCATCATAACAATCAGATGGTTGGTTGTTGAACGATCAACTTCCCACGTGAGTTGCCGATCATTTGGGGGTTCCGAGAATTTAAATTATTATTTTACTGTACATGTGTAATGATGCAATTGCCCGTGCGACATAAAAAGCCCAGTATTACTCTTCGGCTTGAAGGCAGACGATTATAATGAACTACCTACCTTTGTTGGAGGTGTTAAGGAAACGCCAGAAGAAATCCGAAATCAAGTTATAGGTGAATTTTTGAGATTGCATAAGACATCCCAACACATCACTAGCTCCAACGAGGCTACCCGTTGTGAATATATTTCCCGTATCATTTATGGTGTGGCATCAATATATGAAGGTGAAATAAAGGTTTATCCTCAGTACGAAATCTCAGGAAGTCATGGCAAAGGTCCTGTTGATTGGGCTATAAAGATAGGGAATATCATTATCACAATCACCGAGGCGAAAAAAGAGGACATCAATCAACGAATTGCACAGAATGCGATTCAACTGCAGACATCCATCCAGCGCAACCCTAAAAAACGTAGCTATGAAACGGCAGTTTTACATGAAGATGTAATGTATAGAATTGTATCAACTGCTGTGGATTGGGTAATAATCAAACTAGTTTCGACTAACTTTGAGAATAATGGCGAAGGGAAGGTGGAAGTGTTATTAAGTTCGTTGTCACTCTCTCAATTACCAATCAATAAGGCTATATTGACACATGATGACTTGTTTGAGCAAATCAAGTGGGTGTTTGATAGCCAGATCGAATCCCAGGAATTATTGAAGCAGGTAAATATTTTTTTCGCATGTATTATCTTTCTTATTTTTTAGTGGTTTTATCGTAGTTTTTTTAATAATCAAGCGAAAAAGGAGGAATTGGAAAGACTATAAAAAAATGGGGAGTATTAATAAAAAATTTTTTCTTGGCAAAAGTGAACAATTAATTATTCACGCGCACGTGATTTTTTATTTTGAATGCTTATTTATAATTTATAGTTTTATAGACCATTTCATAAGAGTTTGAATTATTGAGACAACGCATTAGTGAGCTTGAGACTAAGAACACCAAGCTTGAAGCTGAGAAAGCTGAGATTGAGGCCAGGAATGCTGAACTTCTAAAGCGGGTTATGGAGAAAGATGCCAAGCGTGATGTTGAGAATACTGAACTCAAGTCTAGAGTCGGGGAGCTTGAGGCCAGACTCGCAATATTGGAACAGGGTGTTACTGAAGTAAATGGACAACCACAGAATGATAAGGAAGTGATAGCAGAGGTATCAGCCGTTGATATATCTGATTCCGTAATAGAAATATAATATTCTAAAAACCTTCAATCATACTCATTTTTAATAAAAATAATAGACTAATACATCAATTAATCTTCATTTTTCATTTTAGAATTACTTAACTTTTATAAAAATATCCTAATTGATCTTTAAAAATCATCCATTCTATTTTTGTGATAATTATTTGACTTTATTTCATAAAATTCATATTCATAATATTAACCTTATTATGTATGCTTTCTATTACTATATTTCATAAATCATATCAAATCATCAAAATCATCAACCGATCTGATATATCATTTGATTACTACCTGGGATTTGCATTACACAATTGTGTGACATCATTGGTCGATCTTTTTGAACGGTATTTTTTTTTCTCCCAAATCGGGTTCTAAACCCTGTAAAACCATCATGTTTAACACTCTCGACGTACTCAGTACGGAGCAAAACGAAGGAGAGTCAAACATTGATAAGGAAAATGTATCTCATAATATACAAAGTCCTTTTGAAGAATCAAAAGAAACACTACAGTTGAAAACTAAAAACGAACCAGCAAATTCTGACGAAATCCTAGCACAGTTAGTTGCAATGGGTTTTGAATTATCCCTTGCGCAATTTGCTGTGAATGAAAATAAAGATTGTGGATTTGATATTACTCTTCAATGGTTATTACAACAACAAAATTATAATAGGCTTGATGAAGAAGTAAAAGGTACTCATTTTTTGAAAATCTTTTCTAGAATCATGCAAGTACCTTGAAGATTAACTTTTTTTTATATTTTTATATCACGATTTATAGTTTCTATTAAACATTCTACCGAACATTTTTATTCAAAGAATGTAGAATCGAATCCTGCATTAAAAATAAAACCCACTCCTTATCGTCGTCCAATTTCTGCGGCTAATGCTATACCACCCAAGAAAGGAATTTTGAAACCACCACCACCACCAAATACACGCTCACTTTGGAAACGTGATTGGTTATCTACTCTTAATATCCGTCTCCAAAATACAACAAATGCTACGTCGACTACAGCAGCTCCCAATACTACTGCTTCATTTTTCGCTAGCGCGCTAAAACGATTGAACTCGCCTACCACATTTTCGTATACCACCCAACAAGAAGAACAACAACAAGTGCCTCAGCAGAACCAAAAACAGCCACCTCATGTGCTTCGTGTAAATACTACAACTCCTGTAGATCAAATTTCTCAATATAATTCGCAAAACCCCTCTCTACCATCGAATTTTAATCTTCTTACTCCTAAAGCACTTAAGAGAGTTCGTTTTTCTGTTACTAAGTTGACAGATGAGTATCCACACTCACCGATCCCTGGTGACAGTGATAATAGTGATTGGGAAGATGAATATGATTTTCGGGAATGGAATGAAAAACAGAAAAGGATAAGTCAAACGCAACCCGAAGCAGAACAAAAACGTGTTTATACTCCTAGAGATATGATGAAATTTTATTTGGCTGCTTGTAGAAACAGAGAGGAATTCCCTGCTGACCGTTTAGTTGATATCTTTAGTGTATGAAAATATTTTATTATTAAGAAATTCCATGTAATATTTAGAATTAACATTCAAAAATGTTATACAATTAGAAATCAAGCCAGCCAGGAGGCTCATTAAATGTCATTGACTTAACTGGTGACATTATTGACAAAAAAATTGCCGAACCTATAGCGGACATTCTCACTCTAGAATTTGGTTTACAAAAATTAATAATGGAAAGATGCGAGATTGAAGACGATGTATGGCAAATAGTTGAACTTGTATTTTTTGGTTAGATTAAAAAAGATCTGTTTAGTCTTACTAATAATCATTCTTAGACAATGAAAATTATATGTCACAGTTTACTTGTGAATGATTCACTTCCGTACCTTAATTTATGTAATAATAAGAGGCTTAGGACGAATGGTTTTAATTACATAGCTGTTTATATAAAGAAGGTAAATTTCCGAAATTTATTCTATAGAAAAAAAATTATGTTAATCTGATAATTTTTTTTTTAGTCTTCGACTTTGGCATATCTTGACCTTTCCGGTATTAATATAGATAAAAAGTCTTCTACTTTTTTGGCGCAGGCGCTGATACAAGGAAATAATAAATCTGGAGCTGTATTAGAGACTTTGAAATTAGATAATTGCGGATTAAAAAATAATGTGTTAGAAGTTTTGGGTTCGTCTTTTTCTTTTTGAGTTAATTGGTGATGTAATTCTTTTATTTATTATTTGTTTATTTCTTACAGGTCCTGGTATACGTCGTTCTAATTTACGTAATTTATCACTTCGCTTTAATCGTATCAATCATGTTGGTGCGGTGTGGATTGGAGTAATGTTGCGAGATTACGAAGATTTGAATTATGGCACTAACAATGCACAAGTTAGTCCTTCAATGCCGTCTTTTCATGAACAAGAAGAAGCTAGAGCAGAAAAGTTGCGTAGGCGAAAGCGCGGAATAGAAGTGTTAAACGTTACTGGAAACGATTTAAGAGTCGCTATTTCTTTATTATTATTTTTTTAAATGTGTAAATTTATTTATTTATCTAAAATAGTATTAAATTTCTTTTTTTTCTTTAGAGTGGTATTCAGTATATTGCGCAGGCTTTACGTCGTAATCGAAGCCTGAAGGAATTGTATATGCAAGAAAATCGCATAGATTCTAAAGGATTGACTTATTTGGCGGATGGTTTGGTACGTTTAAAAATCAAAAATCAAATAATGTGATTTTCCATTTAGAAAATTTATTTATTGTTTATAATTTTTTTTTTCAAAGAAATATAACCATACTTTGGAATTATTTAATATAAGTAAGAACCCTGTCGGTGGTCCTTCATCTGAAGGGGTAAGTATATAAGCTAAAAAGTTAAAATGATATAGAGATTTAAATTCTTAATTATATCATTTTATTTTTAGATTATCGCACTTCGAAATGGCTTATCATTAAATACCACACTTAAAGGATTATTTTTATCTAACATAAATTTATCATCCGAAGGTTAATAATATTTATTGAATTTATTTAATCTCTAAATCAAACTATTAAGTTAAACAATTATTTATTTTATTAGGTGCGATAGCTATTGCTGAATATCTTCCAGAAACAAACTCATTAGTTCATTTGGATTTGACATTAAATCCAGATATTGACATTGCAGGAGTTATGGCTTTAGCTGTCTCAATTAAAATGAACCATAGTGTTCGTGTCTTGGATGTTAATGTGCAAGTAGGTTACCAATTACTACATATGATGTTTATTTATTTTATTCGTAATATAATTAAAAATATGATTATTATGATAAAAGCCAAACGATAATGAAATGGCACGTCTTTCTCGTGATATTCTTCGCGCATGCGTAAGGAATACAGAATTGGCCCAAAAGAGTGATTCGGAGAATTCTGAGAATGGTTTCTTGTTAGCCGACTTTGAAACAAAATCACATTCCGTGTTATCAGGAATAACTGAATCTTCGGATTTTAATGAATCATCAGAATTGAGTTTAGGAATATATGTTGGGGATCTTAAAAAAAATGTGAAAATTGGAAAAGAAAATCTCAAAGCGTTCGAGGAAATATTAGCAACCGATGAAAAATTATCATTTACTGAAAGAGTAGTACCTAATGAAATGATAAATGTAAGTCAAAAAAAAAAAAACCTGTGAAATTCAAACTTTTGGAATTCAGCTAATTATTTATAATTTTGTAAACATTTCTTCTTATAGCGATTACATGACCAATGTAAAAACATTCAAGCAAAGATAAGACCATATATTGCTGCTGTTACAGATGAAATACTTTTAGGTATGATTTTCAAAATAATTATATCTAAATAATTAGAAAATTGGTTTCTTATTCTGTTTTTTTTTTATTATTCAGAGGATCTGTATACATTAAATGATAATTTATCAAATGTTTTACAAAAGTATGAAAAAATTTACAATCATAATCACGAGATTTATCAAAATCCCAAAATGATTAGATCAGTGACGGAAAGTACTACCGAATCAAATGATGATGATCATGATAATGATATTACAATTGAAACTTCTCCATTAACTATAGTTGCATCGCCAGCTTCACCATCTGTAACTCCTCCAACTTTTTCAATCGGTGATTCTGACGATGATGGTGATTTAGATAACATTGCTTTATCTGAAGGAAGTTCATCATCAAAGAAAATTCCACCTTCATTAAATATTGAATCGGTTTTGACTTCTGATAATGACATAAATAGTCAAAAAAGTCCACTTGAAGAAATGAATAAATTATTGGAAGTTGAAGAAGGGCAAGTATTAAGAAAGGCGAGAGAAGTATTCGAACAGGATATTAAAAAAACGGAATCCAGTTCTTTAGATCAATTAAGCGGTGAAGAATTAAAACTTCAGGTATGAAATTATTATTATTTTTATTTTTTATTCACATTAATATTATATCTTAGGTTTATAATTGTTAGATATTGGATGAATCAAATTCATTAAAATTATAAAAGAAAAAGAAAAGTTTTTTTAATTTAATATAATGGTTAATTAACTACTAGGTGATAATTTTTTTAATAGCGTAATATTTTTAAATGCAATTTTTTAATATCTTGTAAATTATTCCGTCATTTTATTTAATGATTTAGAGAGATTTTTTTTTTTATCCACTTAATAATAGGCAAGTATAAAAAAGTTTATTAAGCTGAAATTATAAATGATTCAATTTTAAACAACTTCTATAATTTACTGAAAAATAAAATACTTCATGCTTAGTTTGTAATCGATACATATTACTTACCATTATTACACTAACCACTTAATATTTAACTAATTTTCTTTTTTTATAAAAATATTCTCACTTATATACAAAAATTTCCATCAAAAAAGGAAAAAAGACTAATTTCTCAGCAATATATAATATATATAATAATAATATATACATATTTCTTATTTATAAAAAAAATTCATAAATTTTTTACTCACGCAAATGTCTTTTTTAAGTAATCCAAAGGGAATAAATTTATCCAAGTCGTCCAATAAAATAATGCATAAAATACACTTAAAACTTTAAACTTGCAAATTTTATGCAGTATAACTTGAATATATACTAATTTCTTACCAATTATTTACATATTGATATATTTCCAATACCAATTTTCAACATAAAAACGAATATTCGGAATTACTGTCCAATCCTTCTAATTATTATTTAGGAGAATAAATAATGATGAAATTATTGGCATAAAAAAATTTATTCGCCATAAGAAGTTTAATGGAATCGTACCTCTACGTTTATCAGTTCAGTTTCATCTTTTCTCCGTAATAAACAATAATCTCCCCATTTAAGGTTTCCTAACGTGTTGAATGCCACGCTATTAGTCAACCTAGAAGGTAAATAGCTGATAAATGTCTTCAGTTTTTGCCAAGCATTCGGTGGCAGATAGAATGCTCTTGTAATTGAATTGGAATTTTCTGCATCTAAAAAAGGTCTACAAATAACTTCACTCCAATGATCAGTTTGAGTTATATAGCTTTCTTCATGTGCGTTATCTGATACTGTCCTTGTATAATTCATTTCCAGATCGATAATATAATCACACTGCGTTACATTGAACTTTAAAAAGTAAATTGTTTTAATTTAAATAAAATTAAAAAAGAATAAAAAACTGATATAACTTACATATCGATCCACTTCTTCTAAATTATAATTATTAAATCCTTCTTGAATAGTCCAAGTTCCTTCACGCTCAGCACTCAATTTGGTTACATTATTTAAATCAACATAAGTTTTTTCCAAAAAATATTTTGGTAATTGTCCGTTGAAATCGGATTTTAAAAATCTCAAACGCACTCCTTCCGGTAAGAAGTAATGGCTCGGAAATCGATACCATTCCTTTCCTATGCAGAGATTAATTGGATTATTTAATAAATCCACCTGTAACTGGCGAGCTGCAATTTGACTAGGTATCTCAACATAATAAAAATGTTTATAAATAGTCATTGGAGCACCATAGTGAACATATAAAGCAGCGATGTGCGAGAACGAAATAATTCCGCAGATAAAAATAATAGAAGTCGTAAGAAATTTCATGCAATATCTTCGAGCGCGCTTATTAAATAAAATAAAATAAACAGATTTAATAATTTATTACATTCTTTAAATACTATATTAACTTTACTTACTGCATAAGGTAAATGTCCATCGGACAAAAACACTAATATTCGATCCAACCATCCTCTTATTAGAAACAATGCAACTGCTGAATTTAGACAAATTAGAGGATAAACTATAAACAAAAAACGTTCTTCCTTGTGCGGTTGTATAATAATTGTAACAAGCCATAAATAAAATGGCAAAAGTCGAAAGGCGAGATAAAGATAAGCATAAATTGGTCCAGCTGTAGATGTGGATGAAATACGTCCAGGATCGACAAAGTAAGTAATAATCTGCACAAAATAAAAGATTATGTAAGATTTTAAAAAATCATTTTTAAAATAAACGAGTTCTTCTCTATCTCTATTGACTTACTAAACCCGGTATGCTTATAAGAGCCATAAAAAACAAAAAATTAAAGTTCAGGAAGCCATTCAATATGTAAAAGTGCCATGGTTCGGTACCAAAAATGTCGGGATTTTTGTCTTTTCCGCCGAAAATATTGTACATTACAATGTTTAACGAAACTATGGTAAATTTTTTATAATAAATATAGTCAATTAAAACAAGAGGTGTCTAAGAATAGGGAAAAAAAAATTTTTTAATTTCTAATAAAAAAAAAAAATAAAAATAAAAACAAAAGTAGGAATTTATACCAATATTATGAATGATGAAAATATGAGACCAACTATCAATCGTTGGATTCGCTCAAATCTGTTCTTGAGCGCGGCAGTTCGAAGAACCAATTCTTCGATAGCTGCGGGTATACCGACCGCTGCACTAAAAGGCCATGCTAATAGAGATCCTAGACCAACCCAAAAAATTGTACGATAAATTCTTCCTCCAGAAGTTGTGGAAACAGGTTTAAGAGCATAAAAAAATGCTATCATAGTTGTATACATTGCAAACGTCGAGGGGAGATATGCTAAGAGAATTTTTTTTGATTAATAACGTTAAATAATTTCATATATAGTAACTTTTAATTCACGTACCGATTGAAGCATTCCACATCCCAGCACTAATTAACATTGTGAGTATTAAATAACGGCCGACTCGTGGGCCTAGATTATTTACTGCTGAGCGATAGAATAATGTTTCACAAATTGAACAAATCACAGCGAAAATCACGCGTATGGCGTAAAATACTTTAACCTATTTATCAAAGAAAGTTAGTTGAGGATGTGTAAATATATCAAGAAATAAGATAAAATTCTTAATACCTTATCGTGATTGAATAAAAAATTAAAACCATTGCCAATAAGTGCATGTAACTGAATATAAGCCCAGCTTTTAATTGCATACGTTGGCGAATATTCCCACGTCTGCATTCCGTATCCATATTGTAAGTAATGCGTTGGTTCCCAATAATTAAAAACCTGTAATTTTTATTTTTAAAAAAAAAATTCAATATAAAATAAAGATTATATTTTAAGAGCACTTTTAAACTTACCTCGTCACAATCGACTATATTTGAGAATAAAGCGGAAAGTAATCGAATTAATAAAAAAGCGATAAAAGCCGTTTTCGCGAGTGGACAATACGGTGTTGTCGAACGGGGGTGTGAACTATTAAATGAAATAAAAAACATGTTTTTAAAAAAAATTGGCATAAGCTACGCGATTAAGGAAATATCGTAAGCGTAAAAGGTTATATAAAGAAATATTTGTGATAAACGGTGAGGCGAATTAACAACTTTATAAAAATTGTCAAAACATTTAACGCGTATTTCAACCACGCGTTTCAAATATAGTTTCATAAACACGAGCGTACCTTATGGGGACTTTTACAGTCCGAGCAGACGCAGAAGAAGAACTCGATTTTGTTGAGCGAGTATCAGTTTCTCCAGAAGCAGATTTAGAGGAGCTTGACTCGGTTTTTACATTATGAGGCCTTGGCCTAGTTGAACCTGGTTCTTTAGTCATTTGCACGTATTTGAGAATTTACAATTGATTAAGAAAGGTGTTAAATGAAAAAAAAATAAAAAATTCTAAAAAGATTTCATGAGACAGAACAAAACAATATGTATAGAAATGTAATTATTGTAATCTCAAGTTATCGAATTTTGATTGGACAACGATTATTCAAACAACATGCATATACATGGAGGGTTGACGAATTTCGCGATTATCACTTTTAAATTTTAATGTAATATAATATATTTAGTATGTAATTTATTTATTTATTTGTAATACAGTTAGTATGATTAACGATACTAATAAATAGATTATGGTTTGATAAGCATGGCAGACATTTGTATGATTGGTCAATTTTATGTAGATCATTTCCTAATTATCAATGAGGTGATTAATTTTGATTGGCTCAAATTTTATTATTAAATTAAATA